CTTCTGTTGCATTCCTCTCCCAAAAATAACGCTTCCACGATTTAACGGAGATATTACACGTTTCATGTCCTTTTGGCAGAGTTTCGAGAATGCCATAGATAAAAACGAAAGCATAACTGCAGTTGATAAGCTCAACTACTTGGTGAATTTGTTGGAGGGTCCAGCATACCGTGCAGTATCAGGACTCGAACTGACGGAACAAAATTATTTAAATGCGGTGGAAATTTTGAAGGCGAGGTTTGGCAACAAACAACAAATAATCTCGACGCATATGCAGGCTCTCCTTGGGCTACAAAACTGCCCAAACGAAAACGTGAAGCAAATGCGCTTCTTTACGACAGCATAAATGTACACGTAAGGGGGCTTGAAGCCCTTGGTATGAGCTCTGCAAGTTATGGCAGTTTGTTAGTACCAATCCTTATGGCAAGAATGCCGCGAGAATTACATTGCATGTCGCCAGAAAGACGACCGAGGAAGTTTGGCCGATAAAAAAAATATTGGAGATTGTCAGAAAGGAAATTGAAGCCAGGGAACTGAGCAATAACATCAAGCCCTCGAAAAGAAATGTGACAAAACTTCAGGATATGGACCAAAATCACCACAAGCACTACCAAGACATTTTTGACGAAAGACGAAAAAGTGCAAGATTGTGTTTATTGTGGGCATGCACACTCTCCGTCAAGCTGCAAAGAAGTCCAGGAAATAACGGGTAGAAAGAAGATCCTATTGGAGACCAAACGATGTTTTTCCTGCTTGAAATCTGGACACATGACAAAAAAGTGTCGGGAAAATCGAAATTGCAGAAAATGTGGCAGAAATTTTCACCACGAGTCAATTTGCTACAAAGGAGCAAAACAAACGGAGGAAGAAACAAAAGTAACTACCAGTGTTACAGGAAAACAAGAAGTTTTGCTGCAGACGGCCACTGCGTATGTTTATGGGGCAGACAAGGCTCAGAGGATGAAAATTAATGTTTTCTTCGATAGTGGGAGCCAACGAAGCTACATCCTGAAGAAGTCAGACGAAAACTAAATCTGGAGTCGAAAGACAGGAAAACTTAAATTTGAACACATTTGGAACTAGAAATCAGTACGCAAGAAATGTAGCGTCGTAAAGTTAAAGTTAGTTACAGGAATAGATGAGACGCCAATTTTGATAAGCGCAATAAGCTATCAGTCTATTTGTTCGCCATAAATACGCGCATAGACGTAAGCAAGTATCAGCATTTGATAGGCCTTAATCTAGCGGACAAGAAGCTAAGCGAGCAAAATAGCGCATTGATTTGCTTATTGGTAATGATTATTTGTATGATGTAATCATTGGTGATGTTTATTAGAGGTACATCAGGGACAATAGCAGTAGTAAAGTTTAGGATGGCTACTTTCGGGAAAAGTACCAGGATCTTTGGAGCCTAAAACCTATTCTTAAGTGACTTCTAATTTGATTTTAGATACGTCAGTGGAAGGCCTGTCGAAGAAAATGAGGAAATAACACAAACGCTTCGCGAGTTTTGGAAACAAGAATCATCCGGGATTGACAAGGGGAGTGAACCCACAAATGAAAACAAACAATTGGCTAATTAAATACGACTTAAAATTTTTTGCTTTGCTGGTTAAAAGGAAAACCTGAATTATTATCTGAATATATAACATATTTCAAAGAGCAATTAAACAACGGGATAATTGAGCAAGTCCCTGTGGAGGAGGAGAATCAGGGTAATCCTCATTTATTGAGTCACCATGGTGTTATTCGACGAGATCGTGAAACAAAAAAACTTCGTGTTGTTTTTTATGGAAGTGCGAAATCGCACAAGAAGTTATCTCTTAATGAATGTTTAGAACTTGGTGATAATTACATGCCGCCAATATTCGATACGTATTACGTTTCCGCTCACATGCCATTGCTATAACAGCTGATATTGAAAAGGCATTCCTTCAGATTGAAATTGATGAAAAGACCCGGATGCTTTACGTTTTTTGTGGTTATGACGACAATTAGTAAGCCGAATCCAACGGTTATTCAGTATAAGTATTGTAGACTGGTGTTTGGTTTAAGACCATTGCCACTATACTGGGAGCACAATTAAGAAACACATTGCTTCAATTATGCTAATCGATTTCCTCGTGTTGTTAAAGTGTTAGATCGGCTTTATGCTATGACTTATATGTAGCACAAATTCTATTGATGAGGCGTTAGAGATTTTCCATAAGTCACGGGAGATTGTGTCCGAAGGTGGGTTTTAACCTTCGCAAATTTAAAACTAATGACACAGCTTTGTTACATGAAAATCAAAAAGGTTAAGCAGGTAACGTATCCAATGGTGATAATGCGAAGAGATCATACAAGATGATCAATCCTTCGCTCAGCAAACAATAGGCCACCTCAAAGGGAAATAATAACAAGGTCCTTGGAGTAAATTGGGAAGTAAAAAGGATGAACATTTTTTTTGCCGGGGTTTCTAAAACAGCCACCCACAAAATTGCCTAAGCAAGAAGGAAGAAGGAATATTTAACAGGTATTATGGAAGCCTTAGACCGAAAGACAAACGGAAGAGCCAGTCATATCGGTTGGAGATATTAGTTCTTTTAAAGGATGACGATAAAAACGCACTTTTTGGAAATTATGTAAAATTCTTGAGTTGATTGTAGGTACAGATGGAAGAGTAAGATCAGCAAAAATCCAGATAGCAGGTGAAAGGAGTAAGGGTAAAGTATTTAGACGTCCCTTGAAATTACTTGTACCTTTAGAAATTGCATGTAAGGAAACCTAACACAGAAGCAAATCAAGTCAACGCACCTATAGCGCCTGCGCAGCCAGCAGATAGAACTATTCGCGTACTCCTACGAAATACATCATACTGAAGCCATGGTAACCCCGCTTGTATTGAGACCATGTTCGTTGTTTGTTGCTTCTTCAACGTTTTCAGCCTCTCTGGAAGGCGTTGACGTAATAATTTGTGTCGTTCCACTCCCAACTCCGAATGCATTGGTCTGAGCGTAACGACCGTCTTTAAAAGCTTGAATTCTTCCCAGAATTTCATCGATTCTGAAATTCAGCTCCGTCGTTTCATCGATTTCTTTTTCAATGTTAACTTCAGGACATAATTCCAGTATCTTTTCGTTTAGTCCGTTCACATACGTTTGCTTTTCTCGAAGAGACTTTTGTATCGTTTCTAAACGAATCACCTTCTCGACTTGTTCTCCATTTTCATTAATTATTTCTTCAAGAAGAGCCGTGGCTTGTTGTTCAAGCTTCGTAATGGAGGTTCTATTTCCTCTTCGTATTGCTAACAATTTCTTTAATTGTCCACTGTTACCTTCTGTATCAGTGGCCATGATTTCGTCGTATTCCGTGCCCCACGTTGGGCGCCATTATATTTTGAACATAGCTTCGGTAGAGCGTAGACGTGAATGAAACTCCATATCGTTGATTTTATCTTTAAATATATACAAAACGTGACTATAAACAACTATAACGTAAACGTAACTTGTTAGCCCATCATAAATTTGTAGCGTGACTTTATCGTAACTTCACTACTTCAAACAACTTAACCTTACAATATAGGGCGTGAATATATATAACGTAAGAAGACTGGGACGAGTTGGAATCCCCCATGATGGCGTGGGTTGCGAAATATATATTGACTTTACAACAATTAGAGCTATATGGAGGTGAACAGCCCCAAGTTCCTGACGTGCCCACTTTTGCCGAAATAAGCAAAGAACAACAAAGAATTCAAGTGGCATAGACAAGAATATTGAGCATGTTGTTGCTAGTAAGTCACAATATATCAATTCAATTTACGGTTTCCAAGCTCAACTTCATTTAATGTACTTATTGTTTGAGCTATTATTGTAGATTTCACGACAATATAAAGTTTTGTAAAACTTGTAAAACATTTGACCGAAAAATCCTTCGCAAAACTCCGGCCTCATTTGCTGATCACAGTCAAATCCCGAGAAAACTTTCATGCCGTCACTATCAAACTATTATATAATGAATTTAGTATGAATTTCCTCATAAAGATAGCATTATACTACATATTTGAATTCGAAACCTTAAACTTAAAACACGAACCATTTTATAGCTGAATCTGATACATCAACTGCCGATGCAGAAGAGGAAGCATTTACAGTAAACGTTTACTACAATTGCTTACATCATTGATTTGATCAAGCTTAAATAAAATAACAGCTTGTCGAAGTAAAGAATGCATCCTCTTTACTGGTCCTTGCAATTTTCTTGTGAGGAAAATCACGATCTACTTGTAGCAGTGTCGTTTAAGTCGTTTGTACTCTTTCTTTGTTATAGGCATCTATGTCCCCAGATGGCAAAGCCAAATTCCTGCAACTGACTCCAAAATTAGTCTTGAACATTTTTTCAACTGGAAAACACTGTCAATATGAATCTGAGTGAAAGGAATCAGCAACTGTTCTTCCGAAATTTTTTTTTAGATTTTTCGTTTTTCAGTTTTAACCTAGTTTTTCTTTTTCAAGCTTATATTTTATATTTTTAGACATGTTTCCTCTCTCATTGTTAAGAAAATTAGCATCATTTGAGAAGTTCCCTTCATGATAGGCAAACATATTTTGATGTCAAATTTCATTAAAGACAACTTCCCTAAATTAGAATTACAGACTTTGAATCTAGAATGTCTATTTTCATTTCAGGGCTACTCGTACGCTCAAAAAAGGCAGACGGAGCTATCATTATCAACACCAAGGAGAAGCTTTTTTGCTGCCGGAGCAGTCGGCATATTCCCATGTGGTAAGTCTCTATTATGACATCACAATTCTTAACATTCAATATTTTCATCGAAATCATTATTACATTTTTCAAAAATAAAAACTAAAACAACAGGGTAGCTAATATAACAAACTAAAAAAATCCACTCAAAGTTTGTAATATTTCAAACAAATATGCAGAGTTTTATGTCAAAGATTTTATAACGTCATAATAACGATTGATAGCTACAACCACATTAATATCTTCAACAGGTATCTCTTCCTTGACAGAAGTTGAAACGCAGCAGGAAGGTAGGGTCCTATTGACAATTGCTAATTCAATACTGTAAGCTTTATCTTTCACACCAAGTTGCCTCATTTAAGATTTGTCTTAAATATCCCTGTGCTAAAAAGGTGATGCATCTTGCAATCAAAGAATGCCTGATGACGATGAAAGTACAGATAACGGTAGTGCACCGCATACAGGTAAAAATCATGATATCATAATAAGTGTCACAATATAATTGAAAGTAGATTGTAAAAATTTCAGTAACGTTGTCACAAAAAATTCCAATTGCTCTTTTATTTATTATCAGTCATCTTAGAATAAAACTGTAACAAAAAAGTCGCCCTTGAGTATAAGCCAAATTCCTATTATTCACCTTGAAACCAATCTGGAGTTTAACTTGTTCAAGATAAAGAGACACAATTCTAACAAAAACAAAGAGCACAATAACGTACTGCTATCTCTTTGCTGTCAATCAACCATAACTAAGGATTACATTTTATATTTCTACAGTCGATTTGATTATGTATGTCTGTTCACTACTTGATTATGTATATCTGATTGCTTTAAAACAGAGACAACCATAAAGAAAAAGATAGCTAACAGGAAAAACAGCAATTACTGCATATGGAAAACGGTAAGAAACCCATCATCTTTTAAGTTAAAAGTTTTAAACCAATTTCAGTAGAATAATATCAATGATAATTCAAAAAGAAACATTGTGTAAATAAAAAGAAAAATATTTATCATGATTTCCCAGCACCCTGTAAATTGATTTTCCAAACAGAATCTTATGTCAATAAAATGATTCTACCCCAAATGTATTAGAACTGTACACCTTGAGATATTTCAATTTGCTTGAGATATGCTTGCTTGATATATTCAACCTACATTTTATGCCAACTAGCATCTCCTGAGGCTTCACAAAATCATTTTTATTTTAGGAGAAAAATAATGGGAAAATGATAGAGTGCTCAGGAGGTGATGAGGGATAAGGTTTTTTAAATGGCTTTTTGTGAGCAGCTTGTTCTAAGCTAGCAAATATATATCTAATTTGAATTGTGATTTACTAAATCGTTTGATTTTTGCAGTGCCCAGGGAATGGAGGTACCATATCAAGTGCATCAAAATGAAATGAGTGCCACCACAGTCTGAAGATTGGTAGCTCCTTAGATTTTAAATATGATCAGTGTATATGTTCATTCCTAGATACAGATTACTGAGTCTATTTTGGTGCTAGTTGCTGCTGCAATGTCAAGTTCTTAGCTCTAAGATAAAGATAATAAATTTATAGACATGCAAAAGTAGGTACAGCCCCCAAATATTCTGATGGTTAATGCCATACAAGTTATCAGCAATTAAGCAATATTCAGTGTCTATGTAACACTAACCTACATAAAGATCCTTATTTGTGGTATTACAAAGTTGAACATCATACCAAAATTAATGAAATTTCCACTTATATTATAGATATTGCTTCGACTGTTTGGCAGTAGTACAACAAAAACGACCAACACTGGCAAAACGACACAAAGCAAAGAAGAAATTAATATTAAAACTGAAAAAATATGTGAAATTTTTAAGTATTTGCAGAAATAATGGTTTGAAATTGGGAGGGAAACCTATCAACTAGGCGGTGGGTTTATTAGTTTACTGAAAAAACACTTCCATGGCATTGTACTAGACAAATGGTATGGGACAAGAGTCACTCAGTCATAGGGCCAGACTCATGAATTTCTGGTAAATCTACAAAATATTATTTCATATGCATATTAAAGTAAATTTCTTTAATAGTGTTTTTCAGTACAAAATTCAATTGCTCCATACTCAGTACACTACTGTAAAGGAAGAATAGTATATTTTGAGAATTTTGTGGCAGGCTCCAGCCCCCGCTACCATACTTTTGGATAATGCTCTTATATTTATGTAATTATTCATATTTCACTAAATTATGTTGCTACCAGAGTAGATATATTCATCATGATAAAATTGTTTACTGTTATACGAGAATTGTGCATATTAAATGCTGAATATTCTTGTGCCAGCAGTCTCGACCATTTAATCATCTAAATCAAATTCTACCCGACAAATATATAGTTTCAGCGAGTCTAATAAACTAGATATCAGGAGAGTAATGTCCTGCCTAATATAATAATATCTAGCATACATACATAACATGTCTAACAAATTGTCTCTAGCCAAAGAGAAAAACAATAATTATAGTTTTAAAATTCACAGTTTCACAATATATTTAAAATCTCTAAAAAAGCATATCAGAAAGGGTTTTGGTACCACTGGTACCTTTGGTACGACATTTTATGAACAGTAATGTGTAATTAACAACTGGAAAAGTAATACATTTGAAATTACTAAAGATAGTTATGAGAATTGGTTTCGGTACCACCAGAACCTTTGGTACCACATTTTATGAACAGTGAAGTATAATTAACAACTGGAAAGGTAATCTACTTGAAATCTCTCTAGAAAGGCTGTAAGAATGGGTTTTGGTACCACTGGTACCTTTGGAACCACATTTTATGAACAGTGATGTATATATAATTCACAACTGGAAAAATAATCCACTTGAAACCTCTCTAGAATGCCTATGAGCATAGGTTTTGGTACCGCCGGTACCTTTGCTACCACTTTTAATAAACATTAATGTATAAATCACAACTGGAGAAGTAATTTACTTGAAATCTCTTGAGAAGCAATTGAGAATGGGTTTCGGTACCACCGATACCTTTGGTACCACGTTTTATGAACAGTGATGTAAAATTAATAACTGGAAGAGTAATATACTTGAATTCTCTAAAGAATCTTATAATAATGGCTATCGGTACCTCTGGTACCACATTTTTTGAATAGTGAAGTGTAATTAACAACAGGAAAAGTAATTTACTTGAAATCTCTAAAGAAGCCTACGAAAATGGCTTTCGGTACCACCGGTACCTTTCTACCACATTTTATGAACAGTTTTTTTTTATAATTTAAAATTCTAAACTACAACAAAGCTACTCAAATACATGTCACTCAAATACATGTCACGCAAGGTCTTCTAGTCTCCATTATGAGTGACATTTACAATTTTCAATTACATCTAAATATAAACACATTAAAGGGATAGAGGTAAAAGAAACTAAATCAGGAATAGTAAGGTACCTCTAGAAATATTTACATACATTTTTTACATAATTTACATGTTTCAGACGTAGATCAGCAAAAACAAAAAAGATTAAGAGAAGGAGTTGCTGCTGTTGTGTTTTCAATTAAAAGAATCTCTTAGTGTTTTTAATGAAGTGAAGTGTGGCCTCCATAAGAAGTCTATTGGCAAGTACATTTAATTCGTAACTTCCATAAAGTATTAGTTCACAAATTTTCGTTGCAAGGAGGTTTGAAATTTTGAGTCCAGGGACTTCAGAAAGCTGACCAAAGAGCTCGTTCCGCATTGCTTGGAACAAATGGTAGTGCAGGGATAAGTGCTCGTTGTTTTCATCACCTGCGCCACAAACACACAAAGGTCTCAGGCAATCAAAGTTGTGTCTAAAACGGTGTGCGTTTAAAAGGCTGAATCGCATTCGAAGTTGGGTTAAGTATCTTGTTACCGTTACTGTAGAATTTACAAAGACTGGTTTTTTTGTGGGTCTTATTAACATAGAGCAAAAATGTTTGCAGCCGCTGTGCAAAGAGCTTTTGCGCCTGCAAGCTGCGGCCAAATGGCGACGCGCAAAATTTTTCCCGCCAACCGACCATGTGACACTTTGATTCCGATCCAGGCCTCCTGGGAGGTGCAATGTTATAGGGTTTTGTGTCACCACAACCAAAAAAGACCTGAGTATGGCGGAGTGAACTTAAAGCCTGATCGGCTCATTTTATATACAAAATTTTACCATGTGAGTATGCCTCAAATATTGTCAGTTCCACGGAGAAAAAGTTCAAAATTCAAATTTATTTTATCTCAAAAACGGCACCATGCCGCACGCTGATTTTTTTATTGATTCATCTTCATGCCCCGAAAAATAAGATTATATTGGTTGGCATATTTGGAAAATTGGGTCACGTTCATAATTTCACCGCAAAGATACCTAACTTTAGGATTGTCAATTTATGGGTGCGATTGAATGATGATTTAAAACCGCCATACTTTTTGGGATATGCGGTATATTCATGGAAGTTTTTCATTAAAATAGATTGGTCACGAATGTAAGTAGCTGTTTTTAACGCGATTTTGAAATCGCTTCGGTATTTTTCTATAAGAGTAGGAAACCAAACAAAAGCGAAATTTTGAAAGGTCAACATGGGAAGTTTTGTTCGATATTTGAATTAACGATCGTGAAAAATTTCCACCATGCCGCATCCTGAATTTTTGTATACTTGTAGTCAAAAGTTCAATTTTTTTGTATATTGTCTCCTTCAGAGGCGGAAAATTGGGTAACGCTTGAAAATTTACTTTTTAAATTGTTCATATTTCCCTTCTTGCCTAATAGTAGGCCTAGGCATAGGATACTTTAGTTTGGCAGTAAAGCATAGGCCACGAAGAGATTAATAAGGTTTTAAAGCCATAATTTAATGATATAAATGTATCTTAAGTAGATAATTTATCTATTTGACTCCATAAAAAAAAGCAGAGGTAAGGTTAAAATTCAAAGTTTGTTTTCTCATATATTTTTATATCAATCGCATCCGGGACAGAACGACACAATTTTCGCGGGCAGGTAAATCACGTCAGCATGCGCGCGCATAAAAAACATTTTTGCACTATGTTGGTCTTATTACAGACAATAATTTACGTTTAAATTCTGAAATTGATTTTGAATTTCTTATTTCGCTGTTGAGAAGGTTAAATTCATAAATTGTGTTTATAAAATAGCTATTAGAAAAACGATTTGTCCTACAAAAACTTGGGTCATAATTTCGTGGGTTTCGAATCATGTAAGGTATCTGTCGCTCAGGAGGAATTTCGTTAAACAGATATTCTGGTGTTTTTGATTGTATTAACTGGAAAAAATGGCATAGTCTTCGATTCCATCTTCTGTCATACATAGACTCCAATCCAAGTTCCTCATATATTTTTTGCCTGCTGGTCCCTTTCCAGGAACCTGTGACAGCCAGACCCGCCGTATACTGAGCTTGCTCAATGCTTTTTGTGACAGTGGCTCTCATATCTGGGTCAAACTTGTGGTATATCATGTCTCCATAGTCTAGGTGAGGCCTAACGTAAAGCTTGTAAACTTGATCTAGAACATCTCTAGAAATATATTTTGAGAGGTATTTTATGAGGCCAATGCCCCTCCTAGCTTTTATTACAGCTTCTTTAACTTGTGACTGAAAGTTTAGTTTAGAATCTAAAATTACTCCGGGATGTTTGTGTTCATTCTTTCTAGTAATGACTTGATTTCCTAGCTCAATTGAGGGATGAAGTGGTTGCTGTTTTGAGGCAGAAAATATAACTATTTCTGTTTTATCAGCATTAAATTCCATTTTCCATTGCCAAGCCCATTTCTTGATTTTGTCTAAGTCCTCGCTAATCTTTAAAGCAGTCTAAGTTGCATAATTTACTATAGAAAAGAGTGATGTGTCATCTGCAAAGAGCCTAACATCACAGTTAATATTGTCTACTATATCATTGATATAGATTAAAAAAAGTAAAGGACCAAGTACAGAGCCTTGGGGTACTCCCGATGATACCATTTGCCACTCAGAAGCCTGGCCGTTTAAGATAACTCTTTGTTTGCGGTGATGAAGAAAGTCTTCAAGAAGCATGAGCAAGCTACCAGAAATTTAATTACATTGTAATTTGTATATTAACCCCTTGTGCCAGACTCTGTCAAACGCTTTTGACAGATCCAGGAAAATTGCCCGAGTCTCCTTACTAGGTACTTCCTCAAATCCACTGTAGATTTTATGACTGATCAACAGTAACTGGTTTATAGTTGAATCGCCTGAGCGAAAGCCAGACTGGTACTCAACTATGAGCCTATTGTCGCATAAGTGACTGTAGATGGTATCGAAGATAAGCTTTTCTAGAAGTTTTCCGAAAATCGGTAAAAGAGATATTGGTCTGTAATTCTTGTTCAACTGTCTGCTTTCCGTTTTATGAATAGGTACTACATTTGATTTCTTCCCAGCAGAAGGGTATACTTCAGTTTCTAAACATTTTCGATATATCATGCAAAGAGGCTCGATAATAGCCTAATCGCATAATTTTATCATAGTTATTGAGATGCCGTCATCACCATGGGATTTTTGTGGTTCCAAGGACCGTAATAATCGTAGCAATTTGTCAGGATCAATGAACAGGCTCTCCAGTGTTACATTACATTTAGGTGCAAAAGGGGGAAGAGAACTGCTTCTTTCCACAGTACAACATTGCGGTAAAAAATAATTATTTAAAATTGTAGCTTTTGTCTTAATGTTTGTTACAAAGAGTCCATTTTCTATTAAAGGGGGGATAGCTGCAAAAGCTTTTTTATTAAGCTTCTGGCCTAATTTTGAATAATATTGTTCTTTTGCAGCCGTAATCATTTTAGAAGATTCATTGCGAACAACTTTTACTTCATTCCAATCTTCAGGTTTCCTCCCACGCTTCAAATACTTAATATATACCCTGTGTTTTCTCTTAATCACTGTTCTAATTTGAGAATTAAACCAAGGAGGATCTTTGTCATTACATTTAATGGTTTTATTAGGTATACATCGGGACAGTATAGAATGTAATTAGCTAGTAAAGAGAACTGTCATTTTATTTGTACTGAGGCCGCGAAATTCGTGTTCCCAGTCAATACTTGCTAATATTGTTTCAATCTTTAGAGGACAAGCTTTGGAGTACTCTCAAATAGTGCGCTTGTAAGAAGGAGGGTAAGGAACTGAGATGTTCATTTTGCTATAAATAATCTGATGCTGACAATGTTAATCAAGGGAAGGATAAATACCCGAATCAACAAAACAATTTGGCTGGTTAGTGATAACAAGATCAATGCAAGACATTCCTCCTTCTCTAATGTTAGTTGGAGTATCTATTAGTTGATAGAGATTATTTATTTCAATAAGTTCGTCAAGCGCTGCTCCCTCAGGATTTTCGACATCATCAGGCCACCACTGCACAGATCTACAATTAAAATCACCTGTCAAGATAATTGAGTTATGTATTTCATTTTGTACTTGATCGACAAACACCTGCAATCCGGCTATGAAATTTTCAAAATCTATGCTGTTTTGATTTGGACTTCAATACAATGTAACAAGAAATATCTTTTTACGAGCAATATTCATTTCAGAAACGATAATTTTTTGAAGGGTTTCAAGATCACTCCTTCTCTTAATGGTAATTCCCTCACGAAAATATAAGCATACGCCTCCAACTTTCTCATTGCCGGGGTGATCATTTCGGTGGATTTCTTTACTGTAGGCCTCGATAAATATATCATCATTACTTATTGTGCTATCAAGCATTGTCTCAGATACTGCAAAGATGTCAAACTGGTTTACAGCATTGTAAGCTTCTATTGAAGGGATTTTCGCATAATCTCTTGCACATATACTATTTAAGTTCCAATGAAAGAATTTTAAGCCACGGTTAGTTGGAGGACCGGGATTCAACTCAGTGTCACCAACAAGCAAGAGAAGGAACTGAAGGGGCTTTCGGTCACCTAAGTAATGTGTTAAAACTAGAAGCCTGCAGTAAATCATCGAAAAGAGAGTGAAAGGGGCAAGGTATGGTAATATTTTATTGCTAAAGCAGACGGAATTAAAAACATTTACCAAAGCAATTTGAAAAACAGAAATACAAGAAGCAGTGAGTTTATAAAGGACTATGATAGTGTCCTGTAAAGAAGCAAGTTGCTGACATTTTCCAGGGAGCATGATATAAGGATCTGGGTCAAGGTTGAGCTGCAAAATGTTTATTAAAGACAAGGGAAGTGTAAAAATCGAGAAAGCAACAAACAAGGATAAGTTTATAGGTACAGTGCATACAAGGTATACAGTTTCGAATACTGACAAAGAAACAGATGGTCTTTTTAATAGAGAAAGTCTTATACAGTTTTTATGATAATTGATGTAGAGAAATAGATTTTTTTAGCGCAGCATAAGAGAAAATTGAAAAAAAAACCAGAAGAAATTTCAAATGGAAAAAAATAAAAGGAATCGTGATTCGGCATCTTTTTGCGTAGAGCAGGGCTTGTGAAATATATTTGTAAAGAGTTGTGTTTTAAGTTGTCAATGCATTGAGCTGAATGGACATAATTTGAGTGGCTTGGTGTATTCTTTTGTTTGATCTTTTTTTAAAAGAACAATAGAGCAAAGAATGCGAACAACAACAAAGAAAATGGTGGAATGAGTGCTTGGTCCGGGTCCGAGTGTAGCCATCATAAAAAGATGGAACAGTTTACCTGATTGGCCTGCACCATTCGCCCCTCCTTAATGTCTCAAAAATAAAAATAAAACAATTTTACTTATTAGAACGGAGCTTTCCTTCAAGTTCTTTACGCGAGTTGAAGAACATGAATTTGCCAGTTTTTGTTCTTAGACCAAGATTACAGTTAATATCCGCAAATGCAAAGTCGATGTTTTCGTTGCTTTTCACCATTTCTTTTGCTTTATTGAGGAGTCTCAATCTTTTTTTTGTCAAATCAACTCGAATGATTATTGATTTTGCCCTTTTTCTTTCTCGGTACATTTTTGTACGATCACAGAAGGACCTGAATTTGATGATTACCTGCTGATATTTCTTGCCATTTTTGTCCTCCACTATGGGGCCAATTCTGTGCGCTCGATCGATTGCGCTGGCGTCTAAACCACACTGCATTTCATCTAATACATCTTTGACAATCTTTATGCAGTCTTCTTTCTCGCTGGTCTTCCTTGATGTAGCCTCCACATTATATAATCTCAAGCAACTCCTGCGGCTATATTGTTCCTGGTCATCGAGTTTCCTCTCAAGAATTTCAACAGACTTGAGTTTGCATTCAAGATTGGCAATTTGTTTCTCAAGCTTGATAATCTTTTTGTCGCGTAAAACAAGTTGCTCTGTGATTTTTTCTCGATTTCTAATGTTATCTTTGCTATTGCATTGTCAAAGAAGTCTTTGCTTGGTAGGTCAATAATAGCTGCTCTGATTTGAGTAAGCGCGTCTTCTACGATCGCCTTTAGGCGTGTTGTAGGCCCTGTTTCCGTCATTTTAAAAAAAAAATCCTAGCCTCCAGAATACGTGTACCGAAATTAAAACATGAAATAATACCAACTAATTAAGAGCTCGAAATGTTCATATAGTTTATATTCATATTTCACTTCTGCCCTTTTCTGCTATGGGCTTAACGATCACAGCATAGTGACACGTAGTTAGCCGCCATCACGAGTAGTATTATATCCAACAATGATTATGAACAGTGATGTGTAATTATCAAGTGGAAAAGTAATCTATTTGAAATCTCTCTAGAAAGCCTATGAGAATGGGTTTTGGTACCGCTGGTACCTATGGTACCACATTTTGTGACCAGTGATGTATATATAATTGACAACTAATATAATAATATACTTGAAATCTTTAAAGAAGCATATGAGAATGGGTTTTGGTATCACTGGTATCTTTGTTACCACATTTTATGAACAGTAAAGTGTAATTAACAACTGCAAAAGTAATATACTTGACATTTCTAATGAAGACTATGAGGTTGGGTTTGGGTGCCACCGGTACCTTTGGTACCACATTTTATGAACAGTGAAATGTAATTAACAACTGAAAAAGTAATCTATTTAAAACCTCTAAAGAAGCATAAAAGAATGGAATTTGGTACCACTGATAACTTTCACTGGAATTTGGTACCACTGGTAATTGTAATTAACAACTGGAAAAGTAATTTACTTGAAATCTCCTAAGAAGGCCATGAGAAGGGATTTCTGTACCACCGGTACCTTTGGTACCATATTCTATGATTCACAGCTGGAAAAGTAATCTACTTGAAATCTCTCTAGAAAGCTTATGAGAATGGGTTTTGGTAACACCGGTTCCTTTGGTAACACATTTTATGAACAGTGATGGGTAACTAACAAGAGGAAAATTAATATACTTAAAATCTTTAAAGAAGCCAATAAGGATGGGTGTATGTACCACCAATACCTTCGGCACCACATTTTATAAACAGTGATGTGTAAATAACAACTGGAAAGGTAATCTACTTGAAATCTCTCTAGAAAGCCTGTAAAAATGGGTTGTGGTATCACTGGTACCTTTGGTACCACATTTTATGAACAGTGAACTGTAATTAAGAACTGGAAAAGTAATTTACTTAAAATCTCTGAAGAAGACTTTGAGAATTGGTTTGGGTGCCACCGGTACCTTTGGTACCATATTTTATGAACAGTGAAGTGTAATTAACAACTGGAAAAGTACTCTACTTGAAATCTCTCTAGACAGCCTATGAGAATGGGTTTTGGAACCATCGGTACCTTTGGAACCATATATTGGGAACAGTGATGTATAATTCACATCTGTAATTTACCTGAAATCTATTAAGAAGCCTATGGGAATGAGTCTTGGTACCTCTGGTACCTTTGGTACCACATTCTTTAAGCAGTGGTGTATTATTCACAACTGGAAAAGAAATTTACTTGAAGTCTCTAAAGAAGCCTATGAAAAATTGTTTCGGTACCACTTGTATCTTTCTTATCACCTTTTTTATGAAAAGTAATGTAAAATTCACAACCAGAAAAGTAATTTACTTGAAATCTCTCAAGAAGCCTATGAGAGGGACCTTCGGTACCTCTGGTACCTTTGGTACCACATTCTATGAGCAATGGTGCATAATTCGCATCTGAAAAAGTAATTTTTCAAATGTATCTGGTTGATTGATTTTTTTAAATATTTCATGTTTAATGGTTTTTTTTAATTTTTTTTCATGGTTGATGGATTTTATTTTTTTGAAATATTTCATGGTTGACTGGTTTTATTATATTTTTTTAAAAATATCATGGTTGATTGGTTTTATATATTTTTTTAAATTTTTTCATCGTTTATTGATTTTTTTTCTTCTTTTCTTTTTTGATTGGTTTTTTTCCATGGTTGAATAATTTTTTTACATGGTTGATTGATTTTTTTTAACCTTTTGATGGTTGATTGGTTTTTAATTTTTTTTTATTTTTTTCATGGTTGATTGTTGTTTTTTTTTAAAATTTTCATGGATGATTGGTTTTATTTATTTTTCTAGTTTTTTCATGGTTGATTGATATTCTTCATTTTTTATTAAATTTTTCATGGTTGATTGATTTTCTTATCTTTTTCATGGTTGATTGGCTTTTTAAGGTTTTTCATGGATGACTGATTTTTTTTTCATTGTTGATTGGTTTTTTTTAATATTTTCATGGTTGATTGGTTTTATTTTGATTTTTTAATATTTTTCTTTGATGATTTTTTTTAAATATTTTCATGGTTGATTGGTTTTATTTTGATTTTTTTCAAATTTTTCATGGTTTATTGGTTTAGCTTTTTAAAAATTTTTCATGGATGATTTTTTTTATTTTTTTCAAATTTTTCATGGTTGATTAGTTTTATTCATTTTTTTCATCGTTGATTGGTTTTTTTAATTGTTTCATGGTTGAGTGATTTTTTCATGGTTGATTCTTGTTTTTTTTTATTTTCATGGTTGATTGGTTGCTTTCAATTTTTTCTAAATTTTTCATGGTTAATTGGTTTTATTCATTTTTCAATTTTTCTCATGGTTGATTGATTTTCGTCATTTTTTTAAAATATTTTATGGTTGATTGATTTTTTTATTTTTTTTCATGGTTGATTGGTTTTTTCATTTTTTTCCTGGTTGAGTGATTTTTTTTCACGATTGATTGGTTTTTTTAAATATTTTCATGGTTGATTTTTTTTTATTTTTTTTTAATTTTTTCATAGTTGATTGGTTTTTTTTTTCCTTTTTTAAAATTTTCATGTTTGAATGGTTCATTTCATTAATTTTTTCATGGTTGATTTATTTTATATAATTTTTCTTTTTTTTATGGTTGATTGGTTTGAATTATTTATTTTTCTTTTTCAAAGTTGATTGATTTTTTTTATTTTGTTTTTAAATTTTTCATGGTTGAGCGGTTTTATTTATTTTGTTTTTTTCATGGTTGATTGGTTTTTTTAATTTTTTTCCTGGTTGAGTGATTTTTTTTCATGGTTGATTGGTTTTTTTGAATATTTTCATGGTTGATTTTTTTTTATTTTTTTTTAATTTTTTCATAGTTGATTGGTTTTTTTATTCCTTTTTTAAAATTTTCATGTTTGAATGGTTCATTTCATTAATTTTTTCATGGTTGATTTATTTTATTTATTTTTCTTTTTTTATGGTTGATAGGTTTGAATTATTTATTT